CTTTCGTGATAGGTCTGTTCTGAGATATTATAACTTCCACGCTATACCAGCACAGTCGTAGACAGTGTCAGACCTCCCACTAGTGTATAATCCTTTAACTGGCCGCTCAAGCAAACACCAGCCCTCATATGAGCGTATTCCCTTAATATTTGATGTATTACTCTTTTAATACATTAACGCTGGGACCGAAAATGAATAAATTCAGGCCCAGCCAAATACAGGGTCTATCAGCGGGGCGCGATGAGAGGGGGGCCGTGGAGCAGGCCATGAATAGTGCTCACTCCACTGCCAAGATTGAAAAGCAGTAAAAGTGTGCACAAATTTGTGGCTCCTTTGAAGATCAACCCGAGTTCCTTGCCAAGTCCTGCGTCCGGGAACAATACGAGAGCCTTGACATATCTCCCATATGTCTCATGTTGCGCAAGAGTTTTTGCGACGACTTTGGTGTGATCTCTTGTGCTGAGTATGACGGTGTGGTATAAGTGGGGGATGCCAACGCGGAGCCATTGCTTGGACACCCTGAGGTAGCCGGAGCCCGTGGTTCTAGGATACAGGTCCTGATAGCTGGGATCGTTGGGTGTGCCAAGGTTGCGACGGGGAGGCTTGAATGAGGCGAGGTCATAGATATTGTAGGATATGTGTGTCGAATCGACCAAAGTGACCGTTGACACAAGGGATGCGAAGATTTTGTCAACAAGCTCCTCTGCTACTCGGCATGACCAAAAGTGACCGGAATTCGAAAGTCGGCTAATTTTTTGTACCGTTCCCAAGATTGTACAGCATAAAATTATATGTAGGGATAGAGAATAGTCTAATATCTAGTTTGCCCACCATTTGCCTCCACAACTGCTGCCATTACATCCGGCAAACGCTCGAAAAAATGATTGATTTCCAAAATAGGAATCTCGTCCCATTCTTCGCGGATCGCGGCGCAAAGTTCATTGAAATTGGTAGGCTGTCGAGCCCGCGCGCGGATCCTGGACTTCAGGATATGCCATACAGGCTCGATGGGACTGATATCGGGTGAACTCGGGGGGTGGGGAAAGACGGGGATGTCGTGATTGACAAGCCACGCGCGAGTGGACTTGGCGGTGTGCGAAGACGCTCCGTCTTGCTGGAAATGAAAATTTCGGACCTTCTTCTTCGTCTCCAGGAAGAAAGGAAGTAGTCCCTTCTCCAAAGCTTGCTCCTGGTACCTCTGGGCCGTCATTCCGCCTCCCTTTCCACCGGGATATTCCAGCATGATCAACGGACCTTTAAATCCCCAGCCCACAATGCCCCAAATCATCACCCGAACGGTTGATTGCTTGAATGTTCCAACACAGCACTCCTCGTTGAACTCCTCCCCAGCCCGTCGAGTCACGTAGACACGCCCACACTTTTCTCCGAGGACGACATAAGCTTCATCCGAGAAGAACCGTGTTTTCCATTTTCTGAGGGTGTCGTGGAGGTGCTCCTGTGCATGCGCAAGTCGTTTGGCCTTCGAGGCAGCAGAAATGAATGGAACTTTTCGAGCAACGCGTCGGTGGAAGCCATCCTTGGCCACCATTCGTCGGACTGATGATGCACTGACATTTGGGGATAGTTGGTTGCCGATTTCTCGAAAAGGGACGCGTCGTTGGGCAACAACAGCCTCTACAGCCTCCTTCTGAAGATTGTCGGAGCATATTCGAGGTCGCCCGCTTCGTTTGCGGTTATCGGTAGAGCCTGTCTCTTCATATTTGTGCCAAAGATCATAAGCGGTGGCAGATGGGATATCATAGCGCCGTGCGGCCTCTGCAACATTCCCAGTTGCATCCACGGCACCAACAAAGCGGTCTTTGGTGGCCTGGTCGAGTTCTCTACGTGCAGTTTTTGTCTTTGGCATGAAGGAGAGGGAGAGACGTGTGCGCAAAGTTGATATCTATTGACAGATGACATCATAATTCCGGTCACTTATGGTCATGCCGAGTAGAGGAGAAGCCCCAGGCGCACTGCGCATCGGAGTTTTGTGGATGAGAGTAGATGGGAGGAAGAAGCAACGACTTCCAAATTGTGACAAAATCCAAATTGGGAAATCTGCTGCGCTCAGACAATGTCATGAGGCGAAATCCAATCTACTGAGTGGGGTTTGATTGTTGCGACGTCTGGAACATCATAGGATCCAGTTGAGACGGTACAGTACCACACATACGCGCTTTCCTCCAGAAATAAACTGACAGTTTCTCACCAAAGGGCGTGGTATACGCCCTTGCATTGACTGGGTCAGTAGAAAAATCATTTACAGCAAGCATTTTATTCAATAAGAAGCGAATCCAGATACCATTCCGACCCATGATACTGTCGGTCCCCACCCACTTCCCCCGACTGCATCTTCCTTGCTTTTGCTGAAAGCCGCTGAAACGCTTGCTATTGGTTTACCGTATAAACTTTATTCTTAGAGATAATAAATCCCTTCAAACAAAATCCACACAACTTCAGCTACGCGTGCGAGTCGGGGTTCCAGTAACGTATCTACTGTGGCAATTTGACTATATTCCTCAATCCAAGGATATATGTTATACAATTCGAGGTGTCTTGACTCGATAAAACTTGCTTGAGTTTAGCGCGACTCGATCCTATTTGAGCCTTTCGAACTCAGGACTTAGTTTTTCGCAATGTTGGTTGGTTGGGGAGTCTTGGTAATTTATCTGGTTCGAGTTTCCTCTTCAATCCAATGGATTAGGCACTTGACTGTCAAGTCGTGCTTGTTTCCTTGCACTCGTGTTTCTCTTATCCCAGAATTCCGTTTCACGCGTATGATTTCCCGTTCAAGTTCTCTTAGTTCACGCGTTTAACAAATCTCTGATCAAATCACAAGTCCAATTTATAGATTGAAAACAAAACAGAAAACTAGTTAAGTTCCCTGGGTTGTCCCGCTGGATGTGAACACTCGTTACTGAACGTGCGGCTTGTAGCTTACATGTACAACTAAGGAGGGAGCAATCCACTGTGCCCAGCTAATAATTTACAGGCTTTATATACTACGCGCAAATGAATATTTACATCTTAATTGGGTATCTTCCTACGTGTCCGAGTGCGTGTATTATCCTTATTTAGCAGACGAGGCTGTTAAGTCACGCCTAGAGATCATTGTTGCACGGGTGAGCAACGTGTAAGTACACGAGAACCTTCTATCGCATTTATCGTGACAATCCCTCGTGACTTCACTGCCCCTGTCACGTGTGCGTGATGGATCCTATCGATCCTCGACTCGATTCTGACTTCTATCTATCTATTGTGACTAGCCTTTCGAGGATACAACTGTTCCCGTTATGAGGCTCGCCTCGAGGTAAGATCCTTCCTGTTCGTACTAAGGCTTCCAATTCGTCTATAACCAGAGAAACCTCTTCAAGATCAACGATCCGCTCTTCAGCATCTTCGGCATTCCTTCTGCCGCTACTCGGGTTCCCTCGACTCATCGTTCCGCGACTCGAATTCCCCAATATTGGTTAGGCGTGCTGCCTGAGTTATTCCTTCAAATAGTATCCCTTGTTCCTTGGTGTTCCCTTAGGTCCCAGTTCAATCGATAGAATGGTTGGATTAGAGAAACGAATTGATATTCTTAACTACTGTGTATAATCACCCATTTCTGGATAACCATAAATTGTAGTCAAGTCTATCTTTCTCGTGCACCATTTAGTTAACAGCGCGGGCACGCTTTAACCCTCTGAGTAATTTTCCAGTAGATGTCCCTGTGCTTTCTCTTAGTCTAAACACGCTTTATTGGATATTAAACATGTTCAAAAATTGAGAAAACACGGGGTGTTTTCATCCCAGACCTATCACCGCGTTCAACCCAAGTGTTTCCATTTCTACGAACCCAATATTTGGCACGAACGACTGCGCCCAGTGCCAGGCCGGTTTAGAGGTCACCAAATTCCTCACAATGGCTTCACCCTCAAGTGGCCCTGAACTCGCAGTCCCGCTCTGCTTCCACTTCAACTTCAACTCTGGCTGCGGCAGGCAAAACAGCCGCCTCGGAATCGGTGCCATTATCACCCAAGTTGTCGCCGATGCATATGTAGGCGGATATGATAGCCAAATGCTCGGCCAAAATTTCCTCGGGACGTGTCCCCTTCCCCCAGGCTCGCCTCTCAACCTCACTTGGTGGTTCGCAAAACCCAAGTCTAACCCTTTACCCGCGAAGAAGCCAAACGTCTAAAATCGCAGACAATCATATTTGACCTGTCCAAAGAGAGGAAGGCGCACCACAAGAAATCTTGAGCTGAGAGGGTGTGGCGGCTCCGCGCAAGCTGCAAAGAACCACCTGTTCCGAACAGCTTCCTAAGTCTCCCGCAGAGTGCAGTAGGCAGCTCTTCAGAAGAGCTGTCCCGAAGAGCCAGCCGTTCAGAAAGCTGTTTCGAAGAGCCGCCCCTAGCCCACGTCCCTCTGAGGTCTTCATCAAGCCCCGGATCACCTTCTCCATCGGCTGCATGGATCCCTTTTCTCCTCCTGCATCCATGAGCTCCCCAACATCGTCAGCTCCCCAGTACTTCACCCCCGCCTCCTCTCCAGACCCTGGTGCAAACAGCTCTCGGCTCCCCCCCAAGCTCGATTGCCTCATGCAGATCCTCAACACCGAAGGGCTCGATCTCGACTCCGAGGCTCGAGTCACCCAGTACATGCATTGCGCCGACAAGTGGACGAGGTGCTCTCGGGAGGAATGGCTCACTGGTGCCGACGGCAAGTCCCACTGCCAGCACTGCAGATTGTAACCTGACCTGCGTGCATCTTAGAATTGTCAGCGCTGTACGCCAACATACTCGACTATGTATATTCACATTTCCTCTTCTCTCACCCTTTGCGCTAACAGCAAACTCCCAGGTCAAATTGGCCATCCCCTCTCTCTCCCAGCTCCTCCTGATATCCTTTCAACAGCGCAAAGTTCCAGAAGTTCGCAAACCACGACGACAAACTGAAAGCACACGGCCAACTCCTTGAAGTGTTCAAGTCTGGGGTTTAGTCCCGTTCGCACTATTGGCAGAATAGCTCAGTTGGATACCTTCGGGTCAGAGCATCTCACATGACATGAAATGAGAAGGTCGCAGGTTCGAATCCTGCTTCAGCTATTTTTCCAACATGAAGACCGCGACACGCTCCCTATCCATCTCCAGGAGAGTCCGCAGTAAACTGTCACCGAGATTGAGAACCCTCCACACTGACACCGCTACATATGCTGCTTAAACTCTAGAACCTTTTTTTTTTGTAACTGCATAAATGACGATGTATAATCCCCCTCTCTATGAAAAAGCTATCGATTGTGTGCCCTTCACAAGCATTACGCCCCCTCGCCCGCATTGCAATATTAATTACTTCTCCTGCAAACACATTTTCTCCCCGCCACCCCACCCAACAACTGTTCTAACGCGGAAACACAACGAAAAAAAACCCTGCCAAAAAAGAAAAGAGGCCACTCCAATCACATGGGAATGGTGTCATCGCAATCGCCTCTCTTTCTTGTCCCACCACATTCTTAGCCGATGACTAGCAAAGCCACATTGCAACGCCAACAGGTGCGCATCGGCACGCCCCGCCCATGGGTACGTTTGCCTGATTTCACAATACTGCGATGCGTGCAATTACCGATTCCAGGCACCCCGTTGGCGATTCTCAGTTTCTCCAAGCCTTTGCAACCTGCCTCCGTCCAACGCTCACAAGGTCTCAGATCTCGCCCCTCCCAACACATATACCCCCACCGCCCGAGTACCTGTGTGTCACATATAAATGCGTTTTGAATGCATTTTGAACAACCCAGTCCCGGTACTACGACGAATGTACGCAGAACCACCGCATAAGTTTTCCACAAGGTCGTCTACTCTACACTGACATCGTGAGCTCAGTGGCCCCCCTGCCCCTCACCCCCTCCACGCGGGGCAGAAGCCTTCAACAGTGTATGTGTTCGTCTCATTTCCTTCAATTCCGCGTTCTCACGTGCTGCCCTCAAGCACTCGCGGCCGCGGCGGCACCAGGACGACCAGAGAGTAAATTTCTTCCAATTCCCATTCCAATCTCAATCCAGTGGAGCCCCTGCGGGACAAGCTCCACACCCCAGGTAGGAAGCTTTCTATCCGCTGTGACAACGTGGGTTTACATGCAGTCCAGCATCAACATCCCTCGCCCTATTCCCGTGAAACCGTGGGTGGCTCCCCACCAAATACGCCGTGTAAACTTGACCTGGCAGCCCCCTCAGGTCAACTGCAGGTGAGGGTGAGGGCGCTGCACCCCGTCCCCCTCCACGTTACCTGCTCGGCCCCCTCTCGCCCAACGGGCATCCCAACCAGCGGAAGTGCGTTAGCATACAGGGCACCTTCTAACCCATAACCCACTCATGCATCGCACAGACGCCTCTCGGATACAGAACCTACTTCCCCCAATAAACCTCAAAAAAGAGCCAGAAACCAACAGGCGCAGCCCGGTGAACCTGCCAGCTCAAGCACTACTGTCGAGATCATTGTAACTCTTCGTGCCATGCAGCCCTCTCCGCGTGCTGACCAGCACTTCCTAGGATGACAGCGGGGAAGAACACCTACCTCCCAATCCCACCGCACCGTCCAAAACACTTCGCAAACCTCAACACGACCCCGTCCAAGGCTCATCCGATGCAAACGCGCCCGTTGACCCTGCTTGAACGTTTCCTCCCGCCGCATGGATGATTATTTGCCATGCATTAAAATGTATATAGACGACTATTACGAATCATGTATTACTAACGTGTGACCCATCAATAACGGTCACGCGTACGAATAGAGATCTTTTTTCACTCCCAACTACTACCGTGCTCCACGTCTACCCAGGCCTAACGTATTAGGCCGGCAGGCGTCAGTCCGAGGACTGTCAACACTCTTAGAACTCTTGTCTGGCACTCCAGAAAGGAAAGAGTTGTAGGAGTAGGAAAACAAGAATCTCTGGCGTTCCAGAGATTATTGTTATATTCAGAAGTCCTCTTTTGAATCTCGCGCTAGAGAATTGAGAAGGTTCCTTAAATAATTAACGAACTCTTACAGACCCAGCCCAGGTGAGCGCCGCGGCACGGCTACGAGCTCAACTCACTTACCCGCGCGTTTTGTAGCTCAATCACCAACAATTCTTCGCAGAACTCGCCGCGGCCTTCCAGGCGCGCGGACCCCTGCCTGCAGGCCCGTCGGAGATCGTCGCCCTCTACATACAGTCTCAGGCAGCGCACGGCCACATCCAAAACGCCCTCGTTGCCGAGCGCGCCCGTGTTGATGAGGACCGCCACCACCGCGAGCTCATGGAGCTTGAGCGCGCATAGTTCACCTTCGAAAAGGAACGGTGGGCAGCCACAACCGCCCACTGGCAGGAGAGCCTGGCGATCAAGCGCAAGAAGCTTGCATTCAAACGCGCGTCCTTGGAGGCAGGCGCACCTTACGAATCTGGACCTGAGGAGATGAGTGAAGAGCCAGTGTATCAGGATTATGCGGACGATGCGGCTCACTATCACTACGACGCCAGTGACGGACAACCTGACGAGACTGACCAAGCTTCAGCCCCTCGACGTCGGGATCTTTGGACCGTTCTCACGAGGCTGGGTGGAGCGTTGCGACGATATTGTCGCGCTCCGCGGCTCTGAAATGCGCAAGGAGGACTTTGTCAAAGAATACATGTCTGTACATAGAGACACCTTCCGACCATCCGTCATCATCTCTGCCTTCAAGAAGAGCGGCATCTGACCGGTCAACCGGCATGCATTTACTGCAGAGGACTATGCACCAAGTCTTCCATATTCCATCACGGCCCGCGCTGTCCCTAACATTTCCGAGCTTCACCCTACTCCCTCCACCTCAGTGCCCATCGCACCACTCCCCTCTTCCAATCCTCCAGCTCACACCTCAGAGATCATGCGAGTCTGATTCCGACTCGGATTCAGATAGTGATTCGGACTCAGACTCTGAATCCAGTGACGACAACGATGTTCAGCAACCTGCTCCACCGGTTGTTCCTCAGCCCTCAACATCATCCTCTCCATCTGCTGTACCTCCCCCTCCGACTTCTTCTTCTTTCTCTTTCCCACAAACTCCGTCTACCCGAGCAACTCGTTCCACCGCTGCCGCACAATCCACCCTCCCGCACCTGCTGCGACTTCGGTCTGCCCAGGGTGTGGGAAACCAGGCCACTATCTCAATCGCTGCTTCAAGTTCCTTGAACTTATTGGAAAGAAGCAACCCGGTGGTGGTCCAAATGCAACGTCCCAAGTGGCCTCTAATGCAAGTCTTCTAACTACCTCCACTTCATCTTTTGCTGATAAACGATGGAACTCAGACTCAGGCGCCACATCGCACATGACCCATCAACGTGGGCTTCTGCTGAACGCCGTTCCGCACAGGGTTCCCATCCAAGTCGCAAATGGAGTTGTAGTGTACTCTGAATTAAAAGGAGAGATCTTGCTTAGGCCACTTATACACGGACGTAGTAGCAAGCATGTAATGTTGAACAGGCAAGCACAGAGGTCTGAAGTCAACAGTGAGAACTCTAGTAGATTGCAATGTGAAGTAGATACTTGCCTGAAGTCAACAGTGAGAACTGAGGACTCAAGGCACTAGCTAGGCTGTATATATAGGTAGATGAACAAAGGGAATGCTACATATGGTAGATGAAAGGGAAGACCTAATTGGGAACAAGGGGATTACCATAAAGAGAACAAAGGACATAGGATCAGTAGGATCTCAGGTATCAATGATAGGATCATAAAGGATCAAAGGGATGCATAGGATCAGTAGGATCAGATATTGATGATAGGATCATAAAGGATCAAAGTGGTGACACTCATCAGAGTGAGAGATGTCAGAGGCAAAACCCACATTCCAACATGTAATTCTCACAAATGTCTTGTATGTTCCCAATCTATCTCATAACCTCGTCTCTACCACCTATCTATCTCGTGTTCATGGCTACTCTATTCTCATGGAGCAGAACACTATCTGTTTTGTTAAGGATGGTGAAACATTCTTTGAAGCGGATATTGATGAGGGGAACCAAGCATTTGTGAGAGAAGTGCCTTCTGATTCTGTTTCAGCTTTGGCTGCAGTTGGGACTTTGCCTCTTGATTTGGAACTGTTGCATCGTCGACTTGGGCATCATAATGACACCCAGAAGATCCTGAGCAAGAATCTGGTTACTGGTGCGAAGCTTACTTCAAATCAGAAGCCAGATCCCATCTGTGAGCCTTGCCTTGCTGGCAAGTTGAATGCGGCTCCATTTCCTTCCACTGGTCATCGTGCATCTGCACCTCTTGAATTAATACACTCTGATCTGAAGCAGTACAAAGTGTTCACCCGTGAGGGGTGGAGACATCATATTGTCTTTGTTGATGATCACACAAGCTTCAAAGTGTGTATGCACATGAAGCGCAAGAGTGGTGCGCTCAATGCATTCAAGGTGTTCAAAGCTTATGCTGAGAATCACTTTGGTTGCAAAATCAAAGAGTTTCAAGAGGATGAAGGTGGGGAGTACATGTCTCAAGAGTTTGAGGATTTCCTTGCCTCTTGTGGCATTGTGCGCCGTCATTCGACAAGGAATAGACCAGGACCGGTGATTATCCCTATATAGGTCGTCCCACAAATTCGTCCGAATTTTTTGTCAAAATCTGGGTCTCAAATTTTCGAAAGTGACCGCCTCATTGAGAAACGCATTTTGCACACCTCAAAAACCGTGGGAAAATTAATTCATTCGGACGAATTTCATTCGAAGGCTGATTTTCTGGGACGACCTCACAAGGGATAATCACCGGTCCTAATAGACCGCAGCAGAACGGGACAGCAGAGCGTGCTAATCGCACGATAGATGAGCACACTACGGCTATGCTACATGAAGCTAATCTGCCGCCTTCTTTTAAAGCGCTTGCAGTTGCAGCCTATATTCATGTCAGCAATATGCATCCCTCAGCTCATATCCCTGGAGATACTACTCCGTTTGAGCTGTGGTTCAAGCGTAAGCCCGATGTGTCACACCTTAGGGTGTGGGGTTGTCTTGCCTATATTCATGTGCAGAGAGATAAACGGGACAATTCCGGCATCCACTTTCAAAAGTGCGTCTTTGTGGGATATCCCAC